TCGAAAACACAATAACTGGTTCTATCGAATCGTCCTTAGAAATTTATATATTTTTTTTAACGTTGGGAAATGCATGTAAATTTATATGGCTAACGTTGGCTCAACCTTAAGAGATAGATCAAAACATTGTGCAAGAAAATTGTAAGTCCTAAAAAGGTCTATAGAAAAGTTCTACATAGTATATGTCTTTCTCCTAAGGTACACTCGCTATAACTATTTTCATTATTATATATTACTGTTTTATTATACGTTATTTATTCTATTCTATCTATACATATAATGAAACTGTAGAGGTTATTTCTCTTCTGTTTGTCTGTTTGTACGGGCTAATCTCCGAAACTATTGAACCGGTTTAAATTAAATTTTGTATGGTAGTACCTTATATCCCCGGTCAACATCTAAGATACTTTTCATTCCAGAAAATTAAAGAGTTTCCGTGGGATAGTTAAAAAACTATAGTAATTTATACAGCTTAGTACACAACAACTTACGCACCTAATTTCGTAAAATTTGGCATGCTGATACCTTATACTGCCGGTCAAATAACAGGTTACTTTTCATCCCGGAAAAATGAACGGTTCCCGTGGGATAGATCTGTTTGTGCTATTCTAGAGGTGAACCCGAGCGAAGCGAGGGTGAGCCGCTAGTTATACATATAATAATGTCCTGACTTATTTCAGCCACGGCTACCAATCTCACTGAGATTAGCCAACTGCGAACGAGATATTATAGTGCTCAAGTGTACGCGCAGACACGATGCACTCTCTATTCCTGTCACTCTCAAACTCCGGTGGAACGACTACTTCACACGACCGGCGAGAGATCAAAAGCAGGATTGATTGTTTCACCTACTTTCTGAGGGCTGTTATTAAGAATTTCTTAATATAAAATCTGAATAACTAAACTTGGCCCGTCCTATGACTCGAACCCAGGACCTCCGGATCTCAAGCCATACAGTCTGTAGTATTCTTACCTACATTTAATATACTAATACTAGTAAATAGTAATATTCGTACATAAATAGCTCAGATTTTACAAAACAATAGTGAAGGAATAAAAAAAAGATAATGGGAAAATCATCATGCTGATTGAGCATCAAACCTTAGTAACAACTGTGTTCTTTGCAATTTACATAATCTATACTAATATTACAAAGAGGTAAAGTTTGTGCGTTTGTGACGTTGTAGGAGATAATCTCTGGATCTACTAAACCGATTTAGACGAAATTTGGTAAAAAGATAGTTTGAGACCCTGGAAAGGACATAAGATACTTTTCAGCCCGGAAATCATCCCTTAAGGGGGTGAAAATGATTATGAAAATTTATATGGAAAATCAAGCTAGGGACGAACCCAAGCGAAGCGAGTGTAAGTCGCTAGTTTATTATAGGGACATCTTTTTCCTTTTGTTTAAAAGAGAGTGAAAATTTTTAGCTCAATAATTTTACCTACTTTAATAAAATATAGGTAATGTTTTAACTATGGATGCAACAAGTAACTTAAAAGGATGAAAAATTGATATTTAAACACATTTTATATTTGTCTAATTGTAGAACCCTTTTTCATTTGATGCACTAAATTTAATAAGTATACCCTTTATAAGTAGCCTTTTAGTATATTATAGTAATTTAATAAGTAGCCTTTATAGTACTGGACTTATAGACGAAAGAAGATTAATAAAATGTCTGGAGAACTTATCAAAGTCTGCTAAAGTTATGCGAAAAAGAGCATATGTAAAATCTGTATTACAGAAATAAAAAAGTTAATACCTTATTATATAACAATTACAATATTCATATCTGTTCATACCTAATACAAAAATATAAATACTTAAACCAATTTTATCAAAATCTTATCAATTGTTTAAATATTATCAATATCAATATATTGTAATATTTATAATGGACTTCGAGAGATATACTCGTATAGTGCTATGTTGTACAAATAAATTATACATCAGATTTAAAGCCTTTTTTAAAACCAAGGATGTTTTTATTAAAGAATACCTTACCACCGTCTCTAGTCTCGATAGCTGCCGTTTTCACTCAACAATCGATATTGCGGTTCAACGAGAAAATTCAGATCGCATTCTTGGCTCCATTGCACGAATACGTCACAGATTACGTTGCAGTAACAGCAAGATCTTTTAGCTATTTATTTATACAGCATCACATGAGATAAATTAATGTAAAAACCATGTGTACTAAAATAGAGCCAATTACAGTTTTCTAACATTATATATAAGTATCTATTTAAGCAATATATGATATGGAATTTTTGCAGGCCATTTTAAGACCTACAATTTTCTAGAACATTTTTTTGATGTATCTTTTGAAGTTTAGCCAGAATTAGTCATGTTTAAAGTTAATAAAAAATTTACTACTTAAAACCGTATTAAAATTTGATTTGTGGTTTTATAGGAAGTAAGCGAAGAAACAGACAGAGGCAGCGACTTTGTTTTATACTATGTATAGACGAGTGACTTACGCCCGAATTAAATATTGCGTTTTCCCATTAAAACTTGAGTTTTTACCGCACTAAATTATTATTAAATATATAAATTTTTAACTAATAGTTTTTGCGTGAAAATTAAAGAGTTTTTTGTATGAAGAACCACTTAGCTGAACCAGTTAATGTTTTCCCGCAGGAATGACAGGCAGTCCTGTTGTAAAGGTAGCCTGAATTATTTTAAAATATTTTCTAAATTTGAAATTTTTTTACGTATGTTATAGCTTATTAATTGAGGAAGGTTATAGCATCACGATATAACGAGGAGCAAAGCAATTACATGTAAATAAACTAGTACATCGAAATCAGTGGTAAACCATTGGAAACCGAGTGAAGCGGGTTCAAATTCCGGGCCTGACACCTCTAATATTTTCATGTACAAATAATTTTCAACTTGATTACCACTTATCTTACGGTGAAGGAAAACATGATGGGAAGCCTTTATGTCTGATAGCAAGATTTAAAAAGACATATGAAGTCTGTCCACCTACACTTGGTCAGCGTAACAGACTATCGCCTGAGCTGATTGGGAGGTCCGTACCCAGCAGTGGGACGGTAAAAAAGGGTTAACAAAAACTATACCAGCGGAGACACGGGAAATGTTAGTATTGTAAATAAGTAAAGGTATGTGTAGTTTAAATTAGTATTTTTTATGTTAAGCCAAGTATAATTAATTGATGTAACGGAAACCGATTTCACTTCCGTTAACGAATAAATCATATCAATTTTTTTATTGATCGACTTCAAAAAAGGAGAATGCACTCAAATTAGGTGTGTTTTTTACTCTAGTACTTACGTGATATTTTTACGAATTGGCATAAACTCGTAATTTTATTTACATTAAAATTAAAATTGCTTAGAAATATCATAAAGTTCTATACAAATCTGTACAGCCAACTTTACTTGATGACGTGAGACAGGGTTAAATATAATTTATGTTGACTCCTTTCTACATTTCTATATCATTTTTAAAAAATATTATTTTTTACTACAATTATATGTAGTTTAAGTAATTACTAGATTTTGCCTTTTCATTTACAGGTATCCCTTCCCCACACTCTCACTTGTTAATATAAAAATAAGAAAAATCCATGCGTTTACTCGCTGCCAACGGCGAAAACTCTTGTCATTTCAACAAATTTCGGACCTACGTTTACTGGATGTGCTTTGTGTATTTTACTTTAAAATGTAATTTTTCTAATATTTTATTTTACTCCTTAATACTATAGTTTTTGCTATTGAAGCTTATCTAAATTTAGAAAATATAATGTACGAATACTTAATTTTAAATTATGAACTAAATCAAATTAATTTTACCATTATAATATAATTCATAAAACATTAGTTAAAAAAAACAGTACATAAGAGGGAGTTCGAAAGAAGCTATATGTGCCAGTCTGATATTTCATTCGTGAGAACAGAAGAAACGCATGTGACGAAAAGAATAATGAATGAGATGGATGGAAAGGATAAGAAAAACCAAAGAAAATATAGATAGTGTGAGGTAAGACATGAGAGAGAAAAGAGTGAGCTGACGAAAGAGGAGAGTGGAAGAAGAAGACTTACGATGATGATGAGGAGATGATGATGTTCTGTTGGACTATATAGTAAGTTTTTTATAGTATGAATTAAAATAACACTCTATTCTTAGCTTTCTGTATTTTAAAATATATATTTGATTTGTTTATAAGTCAGTTAAATATGTAATTGGTTTAATATTGCAAGCCATATCTAGTAACTGTAGCTATATCTATAGGCATAAAGTATTGTTTTAGTTTTATTTGTTCGGATTCAATGCCGTGCGCTTGTCGGGCGCTATTCTGCAACCATTAGAAAGTTGTACGATAAATAAAAGTTTTTTCTGTTTACATTTTATTTTCTTTCATGTATGTACGAATGTTTAGAATTTTAATATGAAATAATTAATTTTTTATAGTTTTAACTTCATGTGTATAGATGTTAAAATTTTTAACGGTAGATTACTTATGAAACTTAAGTTATAAATAATAATAAATATATTCCTATGATATTACACTAATATTATAAAAAGGGACGTTTATAAGTGTTTGCTAGTTTTTGGTGCTGTAACACCCTAACAATTTGAGCTAATATCTAGAACACATAGGCTGTTGTATCAACTTAAACTGGTGAATACTACAACTAAATAAAATATGAAATTTTGTTCTCAAAAGCGAAAAGTGAAAGAAATCGTTATAGTTTTAGAATTTAGTTAAACGTTGTATCTTTCATATTTTATTGTAACAAAACAACACTGACGTCAATTTCTATATCGCATAATAAATGATACGAGTGACATTTATTTATAAAAATAAACAGAGTGTGTATATCAAACGATCGTGGAATTGCGCCGCTATTTTTTATTTATCTCATCGCCACTGTCGAAGCAATGCTTGTTGTTCTCTTTTTTGAAAGCTCCACTATAAAAGCATTTTGTCTACCTACCTTACTTAATTCTTGACGAAACTCTAACGAAAATGTATCGAAAAATCGTTATAATACTTTCTATTTTCAAATTAGCAACATCATCTTTATGGGATGGAGACTTTAGTATAGCGGATGGTGTTAAATTGGTTTCTGTACCTAACAGTTTAGAGGATGAAGGTAGATCATTTGGAAATACGCCGCTTTTGAGAGTAACTAGATTTCTCCAAAATCATGAATTGCATGTCAAGTTGCCAAATTTGATTGAAAAGGATAAGCTAAGTCAAATCTTGTCCGAGACGCTGAGGGCGATAGATGACTCCTACAAAGAGAAGACAGGTGAGTGAAGATTTAATATAATTAGTGTTTACAAGATTATTATTTGAAATAATATTAAATGATGTTTTAATAATTTTTAAAATTACAATTAAATAAAAAATATTGATAAGGTAATAGACAAGAAAATTTTAATTGTTAAATTTAAGTACAAATATTTGTGTTATTCTATGGATGTTCATAAAACAAATCAATTTATTTCAGCATCATAACCCCATAAAAACGTGTAGCTTATTAGTTTTATCTAGCGGAGAATATAATTTTAATATTATGTAAGCAAAAATAATCTTGAGTAAATAAATAAATAAACTAACAAGTTAAAATGAAAAGTAAAGTCTTTGCTCTGATTAAGTGTTGTTTTTCAACTCTTTAAAAGATACGAAGTAAACACACTTTTTTGTTAATTATAACAATACTAGCGACTCACCCTCGCTTCGCTCGGGTTCTTCCCTAGCCTGCTTCCCCATAAAAACTTTCATCCCCATTATCACTCACTTAATGATATGATAATGGGATGATTTCCGGGATAAAAACTATTTCCCTCACTCACTTTTCATATCATAAAATTAAAAAAATATCTTATTTTAGTAAAAAAAAATATCTTTTAATTTTCTTACAAAACTTCCTGACAATAACAAACACAAAAAAATTATTATTATCCAATTTGGTGCAGTCGATCGGAAGTTATGCGCGTACATAAATTTCGGTGATTCATTTTTATTTATATAGATAATCAATTTCTTTTACAAATATGTGAAAATAAAAGGGAAGTGCTTACTAAAATTATTTCACATGCGATTGGTTTAACTAACGTTCCGCTACAACGTTACGTTTCCTTGATAACACTAAGCAATTAAAAATGCATATATTTTTAAAATGTTTCTTTTATTTTATTAAATTTATATAGTATGTATAAAATGTATTTTAAATATATAATATAAAAAATATAATATTTATATAAAAGAAAAATTTGCAATTATTTTTTATTGAAATCATTAATTAATAACTATAATTTGTTTGAATGAAATACTTCAATCAACATTTGCCTAGTGATGAACATTAAATAAAATTTATAGCTTAGCTATAAATAAATATATTCAATATATAATAATTTTATACAAGCATTAAAGTATTTGTTGAAATTTACGCTCTATTAAATACTTAATAAAAAAATCTATGAAATCTTTCCGCTGCACATACATACATATTAATTCATATTATTGTGAATAATTAGAATAAATTGATCATCTCTTATAGCGGATAAAAATATCCGTTTGATAATAAATTATTACATTTATTTGAAGACCAACTCCCGTTATTATTTGATCTATTAAAAATAAAACTATTTTTTAGAAAATTTTATTAATTTCAAATAGCCCGGAGCTCTCATTTATATTTTTATTAATTTTATTAAAAATAATTGTAAGAAGATATTTATACTACAATATTAATATTATAAATGCGAAAGCGACTGTCTGTCAGTCTGTAACGCGTAGTTCAGAAAAGCGTGAAACGGTAACACTTTTTCACGCTTTTCTGAACCGATTCAGATAAAATTTGGTATGAATATAGTTTGAGATCCTAGAAAGGACATAGGATTTTGTCCCCGAAATCATCCCTAAGGGGGTGAAAAGGGGTTGAAAGTTTGTATGGGGAATCAATCATTTCTCAAGTAAGGGATATAAAACTCTATAGTCTATTTATTATATAAATAATTTAATATAGGTACTAAGCGTCAATAATTTATATTTATTACATTTTATTTTTTCCCGCGCCTTAACGTGCACAGATCAATCGAGGGTAGATCAATTAAAAGTATTTTATATCGTGTTAATCGAGTATATTAGCCATTTCCATACAGAATTTTGCTGAAATCCAATGTTCCGTTAGATCATAAGATTTTATTATTATATAATAAAAATTATATACATATTTCAAATAACGACTCACCCTCGCTCCGCGTGGGTTCGTTCTAGTTAGTTTTGTATAGATTTCTCAGAGATGAGATATTTTCCCTCATTAAAAAGTATCCTATATGTTCACCCGGATAACTAGCTATCATCATACCAAATTTCATCAAAATCTGTCTAGTGGTTTTCTCGTGATGAGGTCACAGACAGACAGATAGACAGAAAAAATCTAAAAAGTATAGGCTTGGCCTGTATAGTATAATGACTTTCAATAAGATTTTCCAAAAAATATTCAATGTACAGATTCGACTCTGTTAGAATTTTATAATTTGTAAAGATATTATTATTATACTCGTATAGATTAACGACATCGATTCTTCTTAGATAAGTTATATTGTCAAAGGAAAAGTACCCAATTATTGTATGAATTAAAATATTAAGTTTTACTCATTATCCGTCTATATTTTTTTTAATTTCAGTAACCGGAAGAGGAAAAGGTGATGGTGGAGCAGGTTCTCTGGCGTTATTAGGTCTCATGTTTGCAAAGACTTTAGGCGCAGCTGGTATTGGTGGCTTGGGCCTATTGACTATGAAAGTAAGTTGTATTAATTTTTTGCATTTTCCAAACTATAAATATTATAATTGTAACTAGCAGAGTAGTAACAAGCTTGCTCAGAAAATCGAGTGCAGTGGGATCTAATCCCGAGTCTCGCAACTTTTTTACTTACTTGGCAAAATTATAATTTAAACACTCAGTTTTGTGCTTAAGAACAATATTGGATTAGGACTTTCAGTTTTTTCACAAAGAATTAAAAAATTATAAGTCTTCTAAAGCAAAACTGGTGTAAAAGTTTACATTTTAAAGTTACGTAACTATGAAGTTATAAGAAATCAAAAAAACATCAAACTTCTTAGTAAAAAACGTAATTATACTTTATTTTTCGTATTGTATAGACCGATTTAAAACGAAATATGTTACTCTAATTATATGTATTAGAATTTTTAAAATACCATATTTTATCAGATTTCCCTTACTGATAAACAAAAATTAATTGTTCATTAGTCTTTCTGTAACAGAGCAACGACTCTACATGTTTTTAGTCTACATCCCCATTCATATTATAAAGAGGAAAGATTTGTGTTTTTGTATGTTTGTATGTTGAGTTTATTCGACCCAAAATCTACTGAACCGATTTAGATGAAATTGGTAAGAAGATAGTTTGAGACCCTAGAAAGGACATAGGATATTTTTTAATCCAGGGAAGGTAAAAGTAGGGAATCAACCGAAGCGAAGCGAGGGTGAGTCACTAATTAGATATAATTTATGAGCCGGAAAGAGGCATAGACTAGAGACAGGGTCACAATACAATTGTAACTTAGATCTAAATATGTCATGGGGTATAGAAATAAAATTCTGATTTTATTCAAGCCCGTTTAATACAAAAAAAAAGTTGGTCGTCGCAGGTCGCCCGGCAGATGTGAAATGTCTACGTTAATAATAGAAATTATAATTAACGAAATATGGAATAAAATAAAAAATGGAGTGGAGATGAAAATAAAAAATAAGGAGTAAAATAAGAGATTCGTTAATAAAATCTATTTATTTTTCTTATTATCTATACATCTGAAATGAATTTGTACATTTAATATTTCTTTGAATAAATAGCCATTATTATACTATTGCACAGAGGCCGAATCTATAGTTTTTAGATTTTTTGTCTGTCTGTCTACCTGTCTGGGAACGCATCACGAGAAAACCACAGGACAGATTTTGATGAAATTTGATATGATTATCCGGGTCAGCATATAGGATACTTTTTACTGCGGGAAAATATCTCATCTCTGAGAAATCTATACTAACCATTAAAACGAACCTAGGGACGAACTCGAGCGGGGCGAGGGTGAGTCGTTAGTCTATTATAAAAAACTTTTTAACAAAAAAATAAAAACCGACTTCAAACAAACACACTAAAAAGTAAAAAATAACTGATTGGTAGTTTTCATTTACTATACATACCTAATCAAATATTTTCGAAGTCGGTGTGCTTTGGCTAAGTAATTAAAGCCTACCTATTAAATACATACCTAATCAAATATTTTCGAAATCGGTACCAGCCCATACAAAGCAAAGCACACCGATTTCGAAAATATTTGATTAGGTATGTATAGTAAATGAAAACTACCAATCAGTTATTTTTTACTTTTTAGTGCTTTTGTTTAAAGTCGGTTTTTATTTTTTTGTTAAAAAGTTTTTATTTTTCCCTTTTTAGTGTAGACAGTAGTAGCAAAGTAAGAATTCTAACCTGCCTGACAAGGCTTGTCAAATGAAACAAAATAAGCCCAAACTCAAAGTATCTACTATTAGCCGTTGAAGAGTTCCACCTATCCACCTTCTGGCATTACCATCAGATCTGGTCAACAATACCGAACCAGTGTACTATCAACGGAAATAGAAATACTTGCAAAGTTTCAAGTCAATATGACAATTAGAAGTAGGTTTAATTCATCATTCGCTATTTTTCCACCCTTAGGGGTGGTATTTTTTTTTTTTGAAATTTAAATGGGACAAATCTGAAAGTATACACTTTCAAACAACACCAAAAATTGTCCAAATCGGTTAATAAATGACGGAGTTCTGAGGTAACAAACATAAAAAAAATATACAGTCGAATTGAGAACCTCCTCCTTTTTGAAGTCGGTTGAAAAGCAATTTCAAATCTTATATTTTATATTTAATTTCAATACTGGTTGTTCTGTGAATGATTTACTATTAAGTGCAAACTTTCTTTCTGTAAAGACGAAGAAACGATCTCGACTTCGTCACGGCGCGCGCGCAAGCCACGAAGTATTCGCTCTTACCAATTACTATATAATTATTGAAAAGTGAATTCGATCTTATATTCGATAATCGTAATATTGATATAATAAATTAGTGTAAAATACATGTAATCTTTTCTTTCTGCTTATCTCTTTATGCTTATCTTTTCATTTGGGCTTCCTCAAAAAAAAAATTTTCGACTTCATTCAAAAATAATATTATTTTTTGCAAAATGTATAATATTATAGGGTACAGCCTTATTAGACTATTTCTCCTTCTATTAGTAAAAACCGTATAAAAATCTGTACATTAGCTCGAACAAACACAAACTAACAGCGGCGGGGACTTTATATGTAGTTTTATTAAAAAAATGTATAGGATACCAAGATTGCTTCTCTCCAGTAACTACTATCAGTATTTAGTGCATAATTTATCGAATACTAGATTAGATTCATTTAAATAGATAATTTTTGGTAGTACAGACCAATTATACTTTAACCAATTAAAGAGATTCTGATCAATTTAAGTGTGTTTTGTACCATTTTTTTGCAAATTATTGTAAATTCATTTTTCTTTCAAGGGTAATTCTAATTATGAGAATAGTCAGCATGAAAGTGTGGTGTTATAATGAAAAATTAAATTATTCTGGATATATGAGTACTTTTGAAAGTTATATTTAATAAAACTTAAATAACATAACAAAGTGATACATCAAATGTGCTACACACTGCGCACTATTCGCACATATTCCCGGCCATATCCGCTGGCTTGTTATTTTTATTTAAATTATATAAAACTATAATTGTTATTGAAATAATTTGGAAAAAATATAACTAAGAAAATGGATAATCATCCTTTTATTTTTAGATGTACCCAATGTACAAGTAACCAATGATAGAATCAAATATGGAGGCAATGGAGGCCAGTGATAACGCACTTGCTTGGGAAACCGAGTGAAGCGGGTTCAAATCCCGGGTCTCGCATCTCTGATATTTTCATGTGCGAATCATTTCCAACATGATTACTACTTGCTTTACGGTGACTGAGAGTCTGCATGTCTGAGTGGACCTAGCAAGTTTTCGAAAGACATGTGAAGTCCCCCAACCCGCACTTGGCCAGCGTGGTGGACTATAGCATGATCCCCCTCGTATTGAAGAGAGGCCCGTGCCCAGCAGTTGGACTTTAAAATAAGGGCTGATTAAAAAAAGGCTGATTACAAGTACCTAATATTTCCTAAATCATAAATCGAACACGTGACCTACTTAGGAAGGGTATTGGTTTTAATTTCCAAAAATAAGCTTTATTTTATTGAAAAGCTTCGCAACAATATTCCTTTACTTAAAAGCCGACTGTTGCCAATATAGAGCTATATTTACAATGTCTACTGCCTTCTTATTGCATTACTTCGTTCGAAATGAAGAAAGTTCTTTACTTTTAAAACCGATAAATAGTTGAAATATATAGAATAGAGACTTTTAATTTAAATTGTTGGAAGCACAGTTCTTTTAAGTTCTTCTTTTAGTTTTGGCAATGTATTTTCTTACAGAGTCAGTTGTTTCTTAAGATGATGTACAATATAGTATACTTACCTATTGGTAATGTATGCAAAACCTATATATATACATATTTTTTTTTTCACTACATAAATATTATATATATGTATACCTATATACATATATATTTTTTCACTACATAAACATTATCTGATGAAAACAATAATTATTAAAATAGTAAGAGCTCACTTTCCCACCATGTACGAGTCGTTGTATTTAGCCCTTTTTATTGTCTCAGTTCTGGCCACGGGCCTCCCTTCCACCATTCTGGCCAAGTGCGGGTTAAAGGACTTCATATGTCTTACAACGATATTTTACTCCAATAAATATTTTTATCTTGTACTCATAAAAAAATATAAAATAGAAACCATTTGGTAAAACAAAGCAAATCATGAATTTTCATAGTATTAATAAATATTATTTTTTACAGGCTTTAGCAGTATCAGCACTAGCATTGATGCTCTCTGCTATAGTCGGAGTCAAAAAACTAGCGTCTCACGATGACCATGACGACCATCAAGTCATTTACGCAGGACACCATGGCCACCATAGAAAACGAAGACACATTGAAACCCCCCTCCCTTACCAAGGGTGGACGAAATACCAATAGTTATTAAGATATTTATTTAATTTATTGTAAAATAATATTTATTTTTTGATAAATTTGTTTTTTTAACCTTTTAACAGACAGACAGACAGATAGAAATTCTAAAAACTAAAGATTCGGCCTCTGTATCGATGTTTGTTTTAATAAGATTTTCCAAAAAATATTTATTAATGTGCAGGTTCGACTCAGTCAGAATTTTATTATATGTACTAGCAGTACCCGCGGCTATGCCCGCGTTCAACTCAAAAAAACCGCGATTACTAAAAAAACAAACTCTCTGCCGTTTAGGAGATCAGTGACATACGACAGTAGCGCCCTCTACCGAGTCTGATTGTGTTTTCAAACCATCCAGAAACCTATTGAAATATACACACACATCGAAATCCGTCCAGCCGTTTAGGAGTTAGGTGACTAACACACGTACAGAAGAATTATGATAGATAGATATATATAGATATTTAAAATTTGTATCCAAACAATATCATTTCGCCAGATTGAAGTATAATGGAAAGATGATTAAGTAATCTATTAAGAGTAACCATACTTAAAAATGTAGCCATATAGACATAAATAAATAAATTATTTTACAGAATCAACTGATTATATAAAACATATTTTTCTAAGATATAAACGCTAGTTCTGTGAAAATCTAATTTAAAACTTGGCGTAGTTTGCAGTTCTAAGTAAAACAATTATCCAGAAAACAAATTTCTGTACATACAGAATAGAACAAATAGCGCTGGCAATTTTTCAAATCGGATTTGTAGTTCCTGAGTTTAGCACGTTTAAACAAACAGCCAAACAGACTCTGCCTCTTCTAAAACTATCCTGTCCTTTACAGGGTCTCAAACTATCTCCATACCAAATTTCGTCTAAATCGGTTCAGTGGATTAAGCGTGAAAAGGTAACAGACAGAGTTACTTTGAAAACAAACTAAAAACAAACAATCGAACTCTGCTTCTTTTATAGATAGTTAAATTTTACCGCCATCTAGACGGAAAATATGTAACAATTTTGTACTAACGGTAAAAGCTACAAGTTCTTAGTGTAATTCATAGATGGCGCTAACACAATATTTCAATTATTGAGATAGTATCAAAATAAAATATATTATAAATATAAAATATTTTATTTTTTTGATTATTATATTTAAAGTATAGAAATTAAATATACATTTTAAAAATATGTACAAAATAATTAGATAACATAATGACTAGTGCTATTATTACGCTACGTTTAAGAACTATTTAGTGGATATTGAATGAGTTAGTTACGTCTTATCAGATATAGATGGCGCACTATAAAAATATGTATTAATATATTATTACTAGTACTGCCTCCGGCTTCGCCCGCGTCCAAACTTCCGATCGCTAACAAAATTCACAGGATCACCCGCTGGACTAGGCTGAAGATTACCTGAAAAATTCATCAAAATCGCACCAGCTGTTTTGGAGTCCATAGGAAACATACATACACACATCGATTTTTATTTTATTTAATTAACAATTTAAATTTATTTATTTATTTATTGCTCGGTAAATGCATTCTTTTATAAAAATTTAGTGACACACCGACTACAGCGCCACCTACCGGATCCATTGTGAATTCAAACCTCGCAGGGACCCACTCGAACATACATAAAAATATCATTAAAATCGTCCCTGCCGTTTAGGAAGTGATCAGTGGCACACAGACAGCAGCGCCACCTACCGGGTCCAATTGTGTTTTCAAACATCCCAGGAGCCCATTGAAATATACACAGAAAATTTTATCCAAATCGGTCTAGTCCTTTAGGCGGAGTAGGTTAACAAACACACGTAGGTACAGAAGAATTATATATATTAAGATTAATAGCTTCTCAGCACCATAGTTCATCAAATCTTATTATCTATTGATATAACTAACGTAATATTTTTTTTTGAAATTTTTAAATTTATTTTTCGAAATAATATGTCATCGTTTGAACAAGTTTATCGCAAAGTAGTTTAGAGCATGCGGCACGTCGAAATGGAATTCTTAGATTTGATAGACTATAGTGACTTTTTAACCGACTTCAGATAAAAGGAACTTCGATTAAGCTGTATTTTTTGTATCTTAGGGAATTGTGAGTACTAGTGGTCGCCCAGTGGTCGAAATCCGACCATTATCATTATTAATTTTCAATTCAATTCAATTCTTTAGGTTTGTGGCTTCTAGGAGTGCCTTTGGGCACAATTTACTTCGCCAATGTCGCGCTTATTAATTTTATTTATTGATAACACTAATGACATAATGAAAAAGTTGCTGAACTGTTTTTTGCCTATTCATATTTTTTTAATGAGTACGTAAATAACGGTACCTTCTGACATTGAAATCGGTTTACCATTTTTTTTTTGTCAAAAATAACTATTTAATTAAACCTTCTGCCAAATCTTAACTTTTTTATTAGATCGACTTCAAAAAAAAAGTAAATAATATTATAATATGTAGTATATAGTATAAATAGTACCTAATGCCAACTTTTTTAATACAACCTAATCCCTTGACAAGATAATTTTTAAAAGTAATCAATAGAGGTACAGCGTCCCTACAATTTTTTTTAATATATATTAGCATAGCCACATTACACGTGAAAACCAAGTGGACAAATTGAATTTCCCACTTATATATTACTAGCGATTCACTCTCGCTTCGCTCAGGTTCGTCCCGAGGTATGTTTTGACTTTTGAGTTTTGATGCTTAGTACCTGCCTATTGAATAGATTTTTTTTCGTGTTTTTCCGAAGTTTTAATAGTTATTCTGCTATTCGGGGTAAAGACGAATCCAAAAAAAAACAAATATCATAAAAATCGGTCTATCGAGTTCTCGAGTTATGAGTGTTGTAACAAACCCGATTTTTTTTTTAATGTATAGGTATAGAGATTAAGAGTGCCTTGTTATAAAATAAGCTTAATTATAATACCTATATTTAATAGACTGCATTGTTGACTAGGAGGTATACTTAAATCATAATAACATGTTATCATTGTAATTATATTATACTAGCAGAACACGCGGCTTCGCTCGCGCTAAAATTAAAAAAAAAAAAAACTAAAAGGAAAGGTTTCTTACAAACTTTTTTTTTGGGATGTAATTACAAATTTTTAGTTTTCAGATTTTTTTTCTTTACTTGTGCTATAAGATTTGTTGATTTCATGATTCTAGGTCAACGGGATGTACCCTATAGGTTTTGAAATGCTTGCGATTGTCAAAAATGCGGGATAAACGGACGTATCTTTTGATTACAACCATAAAAATCGATCTAAGTCGCCAGTTCCCATATATAGGAACAATATGGGCGGCATTTTTTATTTATTCATTTGATCGATTTTAAAAAGTTCCGTTTTAGGTTTTAACTTTTAAGCTAAAATACCCTAAAGAGGTGCTGAAAGGAATATACCTAAATTATGTCATGTTTATATTTTTCAGGACAAAATGGCTAATTCATCAAATATGTTAAGCAAGAGATGATAAAAAAACACAATAGATATTTTTATTAAGCGACTTAAGCTAGAGGAAGTACAAAGGTCTACAATTCTGAAATGATTTTCAATTTTCATAATACTGACATATTAATTAGTCTTAATATATAAGAAACTTAATTAATTAATTTAAATTTAGAAAAAAAACGGAAATAGTCACTTTTAAGTGGTTTTTTATTTGGTATCTAATTAAAAAAAAGGTATTATTGTAAATTCGATCGAAAATAGTCTATGTAAAGTATGCTTATTATTTATATTTATTAACTAAAAGAACTGTTTAAATCCCCAGAGGTTTAGCCCTATTAAGCCAGAGATCCAGAGGTCCTGGGTTCGAAACTAAGGTCTGGTAAAATTTAATTATTGAGGTTTTCTATCAAGACATTCTCAGTAACAGCCTGGAGTTGAGAAGCTGGCGGTGTTCTACCCTCGTGATTCAGTAAGCACATCAAGCTGTCGGTCCTACGCCTTAACTCTCACTGGTCGTGTCGAGCAGTCGCCCCTCCGGAGTATGAGAGTGACAGGAATAGAGAGTGCACTTGTACTTGCGTACATACTTGTGTACAATAACATCTCGCATCTCTTAATCAGATTGGCGACCGTAAAGGAAATCGATCAGAAGGACTAATAATATCTAAAACTGACCCATTTTATCAATATACTAACTTATATTTTTTATGTCACAAATTGTTTTTATAACTCTTTGTTTTTGATACTTTAAGTTGCTTTAGCTGAGTTTCTTTCGCCAGTTCTTCTCAGGTCTAAGGCTTTTTCTTTTCGAACTGGTAGTAGACTCATGACTTTTAGTAAAAAAATGTAATAATTGAATGCTGAATAAAATATTTTGATTTTTGAGTTGATAGGTTGTTGATTTATACATCATTTGTGAGAATGCATATTGTAAGTGGCAAAGCAATACGTATAGAAAAAGCGGTGAGCAGCGGCTACATGTATAGAATTTCTAACAAGGCCAACTCAGAATATCGTACTGTTAGCATAGAAATAAAATGTTACTGCCCTGACTGTCTTCATCTAAGTATACTCACGCGGATATTGATACATATTTTATCCCACCATACGTCTAAATAGATTTTTTTTTGTATAAAATATACATGTATATACAGCCAAGTATAAATACATAAAGAAAAATTCTAAAAAAATCCAATGGTTTTTAAGGTATGTAGATAGGTACCTACTAATATTGCAATCAGTACAGCCGTCAAAATATTAACAAACAAACGACTAAACTGGTAGAAATAAGTATATAATTTAAAAATAAATATAATATTTTTTTGCTGACTCTACATCATAGGTCCGGTTGTAGTTAGAAACTATCGCCGTATTCCATAATTGCAACGATGCTTAGGATATCCGACTTTAAAAAAAAATGGCATCTTATAAAAACAGTTCCATAAAAGGTGCAACTATGAATGTTACAAAACTAGTTAGTTTGGTTTTATTATTTTTTAACATACTTTTATTAGCTTTAATTGTGATTAAATA